GTGATTATAGCATTTACAATTTTTTTTTAAGATCAAAAAATACACACATGCCCATGCGGCTTATAGAAGCGCAGGCACCTCTTGCAAAATTGGTGTTGGAAAAATTCAAAGCCGTTTTCTCAACTAACGTAAGCTTGGAGACAATAAGGGGTGTGGATAAAATTGTAAAGGGTGAGGAAAACGCCCTTATTCCTGATAATATGAACGTTTCAAACGTTCCATATTTCAATTGGGCTCCACTTGTATCAACTTACGTCGAGCGCACATTTAGTACAAGGCTTTTCTTCGCGAAAATCGAAGAAAACTTCAAAATGCATATTGTGGTTCAATGTTACTACAACTATACAGATTAAAGTTTTATGAGTTAGAAACTCGAAAGGATAAAATAGTCAAAAAATCAAAGTACAAATTTTTCATATAATGAAACTAGTTCATCGTTTTTCTCTTTTTACTTGTAATATAAACATTTCTAAAATAAATGTATTTTTTGATTGTTCTTCGTATTTTCTGTTTAGTGCCTTATTTTGCTTTTTTTGCAATACCTAGTGCCTTTTTCGCTATTTCGTTTTGCCTTTTTTGCAATACCTAGTGCCTTTTCCTGCCTTTTTCGCTATTTTATTTGCCTTTTCCAGCCTATTTCGTTATTTTATTTTGCCTTTTTTATAGGTTTTTAGGTCCTAAAAATCCGTTCCCTGGTTATAACTAAGCACTTGGTAAATCACCTGAAATCTCAGTTTTTTTTTCGGATGGTAGTAGTAATATCGGTTAGGTACAAAATCCATTTACGAAGCATTCATAGATCTCCAGAGTAGTGAAAGAGTTTTGGGTTAGTGTTAAGTGTAAATATCATGAAGTCGCTAAAAAGGCCATTTTAACTTTGCTTCCTCCTGTCACAACGTACTCTGTCAACAGGGTTTTCAGCTTACACTTATCCGAAATTGGATGCTACCCCAGAAATGCGCATGCAGCTTTCAGACATATCGAACTACTATTTTATACAATAATTAATAACAGTGAAACAATTTCATTCTTCACATTAAAATTTAAAGTATGTATACTATTTCTAGTAAAAGTTTTTAATCATATTTAAATTGCACTGTCTTTGCTTTTTGGTAATTTGATGTGGGGCTCCATAAAATGAAAGGTGATTCGTGAGGGTTCCATCATCTTAAAAGTTTAAGAACCCCTGGTCTAAACGAAGACTGTTTGTCCTAGAAACGCACAGTTGAGTAGTTCCGCTCAGTTCAACAGTTGCCAACTTTCCGCAATTTTTTCCATTGTAAAATTTTTTCGCTACCTGAACTCAACGTGTTTTGCTCAGTCTAAACAGATGATCGAAAAGATTTACGCCGCTTATATTAAATGTAGTAGGCTCATAAATGGAGAGTCAGCCCTTAATAAAAATATTATGTCAGCGAATTCAGCGTACATGCATAATTGGTTAGGTATGTATGTGTATGTATGCAGATATTTAAATTCCGGTTTGTATTTCGCGCGACAAACTTTTTTAAAAACGAAGTAAGTTAGTACAAATTGTTAGTAATTTTCATTAGTTTCCTTTCACTAAATGGCTTTTAGTAACTTTAACGAGACCTTAACTTATTTTATTTTATTAATTTTAGTGCAGTTTTGAAAAAATTGTCGTGCTAAAATATCTTTTGTTACACTAGTTTATTTTATTCCCTTGATTGTATATGTTAAATAAAAAAAGCTTGTTTTTAAAAAATTATTTTTTTTTACATTATTTTATTTATTTTAAAATCGCTCAAGTTTGTAAATTTTTAAATTTAACGAACTTGTTTATTCTAAATATCGTCAACAAAAAATCCAACCATGTGCCACAATCATGTTTTTTCCTAATTGCAAATTTCGCTGGCAAAATTTTTCCAGCTTGAATTGCCAACTTCTCTCCAAGAACTAGTCTTTCTACTTGTGATTTATTTAAATAAAACATGTGAAATTTATTTGAAACAGTTTAGCCGTTTTTAGCCGGTTTTTTTGCCAATTTAGCCGGTTGGTCCAAAAAGTTCTGGCAACACTGAACGTACTCTAGAAATTGCACAAAAGATTGTTGCAGTTTCTTTCTATTGAAGGCTAGACAGCTGGTTGGGTTTGAAATATATTCTTCCACATGGCTGGACCTGCTTTGCAATAATTAAGAAGGGATTTTAAATAATATTTTACACTAATCTCGATTTTTATTGGATAAATGGGTTCCGGCTGGAATAAAAGTTATCAGTATTGAAATAAAGAATAAATACAGACCAAGACATATCAAACACGTAGTAGCATTTGAGCAAAAACAACATTTTCGTGTATTGTGTTGTTGCTTCTGGTATCGGAGGTGTCAAAAACTGTTCTGATTTTTTTCTTCTACATCAAAGCGTGCTATGTGAAATACAAAAAATAAAAACTTTAAGTTGGAAGAAATAAAAATTGTCGCAACTTTCTTAGTAAATTTGTTTGCTTCTCGAAGCATTGATACATCCTTTGCAAGGCCCAGTAATCAGCGGTTGTGCTGCTAAGTTGGGCGAACGTTCCAAAAGCTGCTATTCCATAGCTTGTTTTGTATGGAAAAAAGTTTCACATGCAAATAGATTTGAACAATTTAGAATTTTTGTGAGAAAAAATTAAAAATATTTGACATTTTCGAGATCAAATAATTTGGAAAAAAAAATCAAACCAGCTGCTCTACTGATACTACCTGTTCAATGTGCCTTGATACAGACGGAATTTACTATTATTTTCCATTAAGTTACATGTTTGTTTAAATTTCGTAATATGTATAATTTTTTTAATTTGTTTACACCCAAGAAACATACACACTTCAGACATTGCCATAAGTTTTTAAGCAACTTCTAAATATAAAGGGAGCATTTCAATTAAAGGTTGCTTGAGAAAACGGCTATTAAAAGAGGAATCACAATAAAAGTAAACTTATAATAAAAAATTTGCAAACTTAAAAAACTGAGGTGCAGTTACCCAAAATAGAGACCTTATGAATAAAATTGGTTTTTGGGAAAAACTATCACTACTAATCGATAGGGGCAAAAAAATAAAAGTATCGATACTACCATCGACAGTTTGACACCTCTAGTGCGATGTATTATATAATCAACTAAACTTTAATATTAAATTAATAAACATTAAACAAACGAAATGAAGATAGTCAAAACTGGTCAAGATATTGCGTACCTATTTTTTTACATAACAGTATATGTACATATATATGAATTTTGTTAACGTGTTCCACGAACACAGTATTTAAAAAAAAATTAGGCCAAAAAAGTATAAATGCAGTATTTTGAGAAAACTGCAGTATCCATTTTTGGAATAAAAAAAAGTATTATACTGCGTGAGTATAGATGCGAGCGTTATGCATGCAGCATGCTATGGCGATCCGCCTTTACGCTGAGTCGCAAAATGGCTTTCGCACCTAAAAGTGGGTATCTTTGAAAAGGGGGATCTCCAGCTTTCCAACGGTACCAATTTTACCCCTAAAATTGGGGGTCCTTAAAGTAAAAGTTGTTATATATTTTCCAAATAGATATGATGATATAGCAAAAAAAAATAAAAATAAATTTTGGAGGTGACGCACGATGGATGCAAGTGGGAGACGGGGAACGAGAGGAATCGCATCTTACCTTTGTGTACATACATACATTTATACATATTTTTATTTTTTGTTTTGTTTTTAAACTCGATTATTCCAAAATATCTCAACTCCAACAGCTCTTAGCTAGTCCAAACAACCTTTTAAATCTCTAAGGGCCGTTTCCACCATCTCTGGTTAACACTAATCCCCAGTTAAACATCGTTACCGACGTTACAGACTCCATGCATATAACATTGTGTCGATAACGTCGGTACCGATGTTTAACTGGAGATTAGTGTTAACATGTGATCGATAAAGCAGTCGTTGTGCTTAACTGAAGGATGTACCTCCAGTTAGCGCAAACGGCCGTTAGACATGTTCGGAGCATATAACCCAAATGTCATTGCAATCAAAAATGCATATATTTGCTAATAATTCATGTGTGAGAGATACATTTTTATACACTAGTATGGATGTCAGCAATGTTCTCTGAAAAAAATCTTGAGTGCCGCAGTATATCTTGAGTCTTAATATGACGATCCTTAGATAAAAGTGGGTGAATTGATCCTCTACTTGGCTTGTTATATGTTTTAATAACTACTCTTTAATATGGACCACACTAAAAGCTTCGTTTTATATAAAAATGCGACCTCTGAAGTGATCTATTGTGCGTGACCCTGCGCCCTATGGGGGAAGGCTTTTAATGTAGCCTAGCATTTTCAAGGGCGTTTTGTTCCAGATTTCAAATGGATTAAGTGTAGCACCATTCAAGTGAGCTAGTCTGCGCCTAGCAAGAGCGTCACATTCACAAAGAATGTGTTCTGGCGTTTCCTCATCCAGCTCACAGAAGCGACAGCCATTTGTGTCTGAAATATTCACTTTACTGAGGTGATAGCGAAGGGAGCAATGTCCCGTATATTACCTAGTGAGAGTTTTTAGGTCTTCTCTGCCTAAGTTGAGTAGTATTTTTGAAGCTTCTTTTGAAGGGCAGATAAATCGTTTGGCTTGTCTCTACCCTGGATATTCCATCCAGTGCCTGTTGAACATTTTCTCTACCCAGTTGTTTATGATCTCCTTTATTTGTGCTTTGGTGAGCCCACAAAATGGTTCTGGACCATTAAATACTGCGGTAGCTCCTAGCTTCGCTAGGCAGTCAGCCTCCTCGTTGCCGTCATGTCCTTCATACCCCGGTACCCATCCTAATAAAACAGTATTTTTGGCACCAAGAGCGTTTAGAACATTAAAGCAACCATATACTAGCTGGGAATTTATTTTGTGAGACTTGAGTGCCAGTAGGGCTGCCTAACTGTCCGACAAAATGTAGACATATATATAAATATGTAACTCATATCTATGTATAATAGTGAATTTAGTGTAGCTTTGTCAAAATACTGCTTTTTTTTTATCTGTTTTTCATGTTAGTTCGTGAACATGGTTCGAAGTCCTTTTTGGCTCTAGAAAACTCTCAGCCCTGACAAATAAAGACTCTTTATTCATTTAATCAATTTTATATTTAATAGTAGTTTTCTTGATTTTTACAACATAGAGTGGGAAAATTGCATTTTTCACATATGTGATGAATACTGTGGACTTAAATCATAAGATAGTGTAAATTTTTAATCAATTAATTAAGTAGTTATTATTTTATTTACTCATTACTTAGCTACAGCTTACAAATATGAGAATTACAATACAATACAATAGAGATGCAGCAGAGTGCCAGCCATGTAGGGCAGAATAAATTACTCATTTCATTCCGTTGTCTCATTTTATATTTTATACAATCTATTATTTGCTTAAGAGTAGATTTTCTTGAAAATGCGGGGTATTGGAAATATGTAGCATATGTAGTAACAATTCAAATACAATTCTTACAAAGGAGTGGCGGTTAAGATGGTACGGAAACGCTGTTGTGCAAATTGTGTATAAATCGGCTGGTCGCAGATATGTAACATTACACCTTCGCTTCATTATAACTAACTAAATATGTTCTTTAGGTTTTTGCATTGCGTACCTATAATTTCAACAAAATTAATACGCATATAAAAGTCTGGCCTACATATAATACATGCAATTACAATAGATACATTTACATACAAACAAGTGTGAAACACTTTCTGATCGCTCAACTTTTGTGCGAATCCTTAACCCTATGATTATTTACAATAAAATTTTCCAGATTTCTTTATAAAACTGCCAACTTTTGCACTTTAGAGTCTATGTATTGTATACATATGTATGTACATACTTAATTACACACATTAACTCGTATATGTATTTATGTTTATTTTTTGTAGGTAAGTATGTACATATGTAGATGTATTTGTGTTTTCAGTTTAATGATATTATTTGTGATCACACGACTTGCATTTTTAGCATTTTATATTTAATATTATTAAATATATGTAGATATTTTAAAATATTTAACAAATTTACGCGAGCTCCGTATGACGCTGTTCTTAAATCATTTATCACTTGACGGCATTCCTTTAAAATACAAATATTGACTGTTTGCGTGTCGTAACTCAACATTTGTATTTTAAAAGAAGTCGTCAAAGGTCTTCGATTATGTTTGATACTGCAACATCGGCGCTGACAAATTGGGATGGTGCGAGCTGTTCATACGCAAGGCAGATAAGCTTTTGTTGTACCATTCATCTTCCGGTGACATGCCTTTGAAAAGATAATTAGAAGAAATAAATATAATTAAATTATTCAGCTCTAACGTGTTTGCATTTAAGTACTTAAGTGTTATTATATTTATGCATATTTATGTAGGAATGTACATATGTGTCTATGTATGTAAAACTATGTTTCCATCAAGGGCATCCGAATTTTAATTGGTCCGAATATAAAAAAAATTTAACTTGGGACACCATATCTGTGTGTAGTTACAGTGACAACACTTTTTTAAAATGTTGTCCTTTGAATTCATTTACTTTCTAGAAAATCTCTTATGCCATTATTACAAGAACTGTCCGTTAATAAGAATCCAATTTAGAATAGTCAATAGGAACAGCCTTATAGCCGATCTGTTTTTTATTCTAAATACGTATCGTCACTAGACACGAATAAAGGCGCGAGCTCAAAAGTTGACCGCGAAAAAAGGCGCATAAAAAAAAACTTCAGCAAAGAAAGACTCTTAACATAGTTGACGGCGAAGGAAGACGCGTTAAAATATTTGACGGCGAAGATAGACGCGTAAACTTATTTTCGCGGTCAACTATGTTTGTGGTTGTAATAGTATGTACATTTCGTAAAGAGTTTTTTAGCCCAGTTATGCATACTTGCACTGCTATACCATTTTTACGTAAAAATTAAAACCCAACAGAATTCTACATGTTAACTGCTATCTGTTGGGTAACCGCTTACACGCAAAGCCCATTTAACAGATTCTTATGTGAGAACTCGCATGCAATAATGCTGAAGTGACAGTCCTTGGCCAAGTATAAATCTATGATTACGCGTCTTTCTTCGCCGTCAACTAGGTTACGCGTCTTTCTTCGCCGAAGTTTTTACTAAGCGCCTTTTTTCGTACAATTTTTTTATGCGTCTTTTTTCGCCGTCGAAACACTAGCGCGCCTTTATTCGTCTCTAGTGACGGTATGTTCTTTCAGAGAAGCTACTTGTTTATTTCACCGTTTTTTACAACAGTGACATTTAACAACTTAGGGCCAGTTTGTCAGTGCCAGTTTAAACTTAGATTACGTAAACTGCGTTTATATTGAGCGGCTTGCTGACATTTAATTAACTAACCTTAGTTTTTAAACTAAACTAGCCCTTAAATGTCTATCTTAGACAGTGAATAGAAAAAATTTGAGCACAGAAATTTGTTAACAGTATGCGCATATGTTTTTACGCAAAATTTGTTTCGTTAATTTTGTACCAAAATATGGCTCATACTGGCTGACTTCCAATACGTATCAACACAATGTTTGGATACTATTATACTGCGGTATTCAAACTGTTTGTATATGCAGAGTTGCGACACATTGCAACCATATACATACATTGCATATTTTCCATATTCCATTTAGCAATGGAAAATTTTTCTGAATTTTCCATTTTTAAAACACCAATGGTAACCAATAACAAACGAAGCATCAAATTTGTTTCTGATGCGCGGATTGCTCTAGCGATGCGTTTCGATAATTTTTCGGATGCGTTTTGGAACAGTATACGTTGTCAATATTTTGTAGTTCGGCGTTATGGAACATTATACTTTGTACGTATGCAAAGCAATTGACGTTTCGGAAGTCAGCCACTATAATAAAATCCACACAATTTAAAGTTTCAAACTTAGAAGAAAGTTTAGAAAATATCTGCGAATTTTCATAATTTTTTACATACATATATGAAATACATATATTTATGACATGTTATATATGTATTATATATATGTTGTGAATGTGGAATTTTAGACTACCGCGGAAGCGAATGTCAAGTATTTTTAAGAAATAATTTCGGTAAGTGAATTAGGTAATTTTGATAAATGAAAAAATGTATGGCCTTATTCATAAAAAATAAAATAGATTTAAAGAGCTTCATAAAGTGATATTCTCATACAAATTTTCTATTTCAAAGCAGTTTAATTCGACTTTATTTTTTATGCATTTGGGCGTTAAAAGTTATTAATTTTTTATAATGTTTAATTTATTTAGTACTTGAATTTAAAAATTGGAACATTCTATTTAACAAAAAGTAACAACTGCTCGCTCGGAACAGCTGGTGAAGGGGGCAAATATCTACGTGCGAAAGATGATAATATTTTAAACTCGTTTCGGTTGACGCTCCACAAGTTCAGAGGACTTCCAGTTATATACATGACGCAGGATGCCGATTCATCAATTATTGACGCGCACGTTTTAAAGAACATTTTTTGAATAGCCTGTATTTTTCGGTTCATCAACTATTTTAATTTTTGTTTACCTCGCCTACTATTTGTCAGTATGTACAATTTTCAACAAGTGTTTTATAAAACAGTGCGCGCCACTTCATCAAAGTATTTTCCAATTCTTTAATCTTATTATCGGATCCGACATACATATGTAGGTATACTAGGTCGAGTCAATTTGTATGGGAAATTTTTTCGACTATAGGCGTATAGCATTAGAGGATTCTACGTTTAATTCTAAGAAAATTGGCCAAAGAAATCATGGGTCTAAAATCAACTTGGAGTTTGTCAAATAGTGAAAATATGTTTCTTTTAGTTATCATTTTGCTGTAGTGTCGTACACTGAGAAAAAAACGCGTTATAAAAATGAAATTTTTTTATTTGATTACCGTGTAAAAATGTTCGTATTTAAACCAATTCAAAAGTGAATATTTCCATTATACATACACTACGTATAATGAAAATACTCAATTTAAATACGCCCGTATTAAAATGAAGCAGTTTTCACTGCACGGATGGCGTTTCGCACGTCTCAGCTGCTTTTTCATATGTAATTAACAAAGAATATGTATATAAAGCATGCATAGGGGTGACAACACATTCACACATATATGGTATATGTTTATCCCCTGCAGAAAAAAATTATCAATTGATAAAAAATAACCTACTTACAGTTAGCTTTTGAACTTGAAACCAGTGGACAAGTAATGCAGGAGTAAAGCTCGAGATTGTTTTCTTTAAACGCGTTTCTATTTAAATATCCTGCACTTCGCAAATACTTTTTCGAATTGAGGACAAATAAAAGGAAGATCGAAATTTCATATTATCATTTTGAAGTTATGTCCGACAAGTTATCTGTGACAACATTTGCAAACACATTTACATATATGGCCGTAGGTGAGTGTGCAAAAACGCTTGATACGATTGATTGCTGCCAAGGGGTCCGGGTTCAATTACCATCAGACGGAACATAAAATGAATTATTTTTGTTCTTCTTAATTATAATTTCGTATAACGAAAAAGCATCTGTGCACTTCACAACGACATATTTTATAACGTACACACTCAAATTTAAAACGAGTTGGGTTGGTGCTCTTTCATATGCGTATTTTTTTAAATTTAGAACGTTTTTTTTTTAGTTCTAAAATTTTTTACCCTCAGTGTAAAGAAGGACTTTAATGAAAATGCACAGAAATAAAAAGAGAGGGAAAATACCCTTCCACTGATACCTCATAAGTCGAAATCGTAATAGCTTTGGCCCAGTTATTGAAGTTTTTCTGAAACCAATCTTTGAAAAGAGTTAAAAAACAGCATCAAAAATCTCATTATTACGATTCTGTTGATAAGATTTTTAAGTATTTTTATGCAGATTTTTTAAGCTTAAACTGTTTTGTCATCTGAGGGATTTTTTTGAAAAAATTCTTTAAGAAACTATCTTCATGCATAAAAAACTCCATTATTTGGAGGTATTTTCAAGTCGGTCCAGCTCACGTAAATCTTAATATTTTTTCCGACGCCTTCAAATATAATAACATTTGTAATCCCGTCGGAAAAACCGCAACTTTTATTGAAGATGCAGTCTAATGTACATGCCTACATATGTACATCTGAATGCATGTAGTTTGTATTGAATTTTAGTTTATGCCAGACCTGTTAACTTTGGATTACGATTACTAATCAAAACGATTACAAAGGTTCCGTAATCGTAATGAATAATTCAATTAGTGTTTTTAACCGAGGAATTAGTAATCAATTATAATTAGAATTAATCAAAAAACAATCATGATTATTTGTCATTAAAAAAATAATCAATAATGATCAAAAATAATCAAAAAAAGTAGTTGATTAAATTTGGTGATTACTTTTGATTATTCTTGATTTAATAATGGTAATTTGATAATGGTAATTAATCATTTAGCAGATTTAAAAAAAAAAATAATTTATCTAAATCGGTAATCATCACAATTTATAATCATTACTTAACAGCTCTGTTTTATACACAATTTAAGCACTTCTTTACAGCACTAAAGAAAAATGCTAAGTAAAAGAAACCTATTTTCTCAATTTGGCAAACTCCAAATTGATTTTAGACCCACGATTTCTTCGGCTAATTTGCTTAGAATTACACGTAGAATCCTCCTATGCTATACGCCTACAGCCGAAAAAATTGACCAGCCCTAATGTACACTCTTATTTTTATTGCGGTACAAGAATACTTCGTTTATGAATATGGCATCGGGGCTGCTAATGTCGGATTATCCTCCCGACATTCACTTCAAGATCGTTCTGTAAACACCGTTTACTAGCAGAACCAGATGTTTAAGGTTTTTCCAAAGAATTCCTCATTTTCATTCTTTTGGCTGTTTCAGAATTTGGAGAACATGTTTCTGTAATACATTTTTAATCCCTTCTTCTAGGACTGGCTTGAAAAATTTATGTAGATAGGTGGATATGACAAATAAATTGTTTTGTTTGTTTGTGAAAGGGTATGATCTCCGGATGTGCAATAATCCTTTATTTTGAGTAGGGTTGCCAACTATTTACAAATTAGTACCTTAAACATATATAATACGCGAATTTTTTGTTAATCGCCTCTAATTTGCACAGTTCTTTCAAATTTCAAAAATAAAGAGTCAAATGAAGGGGCTTGGCCTTCAGATGTGCAATAAGGTTTTATTTTTTCAGAGAGGGTTGCCACTTGTGCAAAAAATTATAAGGTGTGGGTTGTTCTTGCACTAAAAGGGGTACATACGTATGAATCGGTGAGTTCTACAACCAA